TTTATTTCTGCTCTTGTTTTTATAATTTCAGTTTTTTTAAAGGGTGTCAGGTTTTCTTGCTGTTCTTTTTCCAAAATCAAAAGTCTTGCATAGTTCAGCTCTGACCCAAAAAGGCACCAGTTCCATTTTCTGTTCAGAAGAACCACGAAGATGAAAAGTTGTATTACATGATATCTTGTCAGGGTCAAGAAGGGCTGGAAGTTGGGGGGGGGACTAAGAAAAACAAAGAAAGAGAAGGTTGAGAAGTTAAGACAGAGAGCAGATTTGCACTATTCATCCTCCTGGTTTCATAATCCCAGTTCTACCACTGACTACTATTATGACTGAAAAACAATTCAAACCCATTGTCATCAAGTTTCCAAGGATACAAATCCCACGATGAGAGAGTGCCCCTCTTTCTCCTGATCTTGGCGGATTAAAATAGCCACAGAGGCTCAACCTTTGGGTTAATAGTGCTACTGACTCTGCCACCAGCCTTGGGTGGGGGGGGAACTAAACAAATCAACTATTCTCATTGAATCAATGTAAACTCATAGTGACTTTATAGGGCAAAGTAGAAACTGCCAGATTGGGTTCCCAAAGCTGCAAATTGTTACAAGTGCAGGCTGCCACACCTTTCTCCTGCTGCACAGCTGGTTGGCTTGAGCTGCCAATCTTTCAGTTAGCAGCTGAGTGCTCAGTCCCTGCACCACCAGGGCTCCTGTTGAATGAAGCACAGCTACTCCAGCTCAAATGCCTAATTTTCTGGAAGCGAAGCTCCCTGCACATAGGAAGTGCTTCATTAACGGGTTTTCCGAGATGAGTACATTGACTCTGTAGGATTTTCCAGCAAGTATGGCTTTCCAAAAATAGAAATGAGGGGGGAGCTCTTACAGAAACGTATTCACAAATGAGATAAAAAGAAAAGTCCTTCTCCCATCAGGCCTGGAAGTTGTTTCAGTGGGCCCGTGGGTCTGGGCTTTCACCCCGGAAAACACACAAAACGACAGAGATTTGGGGTTGTTTCAAAGCTCAAAGGCATAAAGAGAATCACTTTGCCATCATCCCAGCAGAGAAGTCTGAAAATTCGGAATGTGTTTGCCAGTCTCAGGCCTGGGCTTGCGTGACAGATGTTAGGGAGGAAGGTACACAAGGCTTGCACCTAGATCCAAATCAAGTTGAAACAAAGATGTTTTATGCTTGTTTAAGCTGGCAAGTGTCACGACTCTTGCCGAAAAATTGACACTTTTCCTTCTGGCATATCTTTTTTAAATTGTTCCTCTTTCTGCAAGATTAACTGATACCATCTGTGAGTGTTTGGGGCCTTCTCTCTCAGCTTGCATTGAATTGTGGTTTCTTCTCTGTGCTTCTTTTCAATGGTGCAGGCACACAAGAGCTGTCTGCAGCGAATGGTCAAATGCTGCGGACTTCGGGTTCCCAAGTCTTTTAACCCCTGGCTTCCAACTCTAAAGGCATCTAAAGGCAAAAAACAACCCTTCTAGAGATGAGGCCCGCCCCCTGCCCGTGATAGGCTGCCTGGAATAGCAACAGCCTGTGTCACCGAAAAGGGCAAAGCCTTCGGAAATAGAAACAAAGTTGGTCACAAATCACATTGCCTTGTCCTGAAGTTGTTTTTTTCTCTCCCCCCTCCCCATCTCTCTCTCCGCTTCTATTTAACATGCCATCATGGGGACCGTAACAACTCCTGTCCGTGTGACAAGTCTGAGTGGACTGGTGTGGAGGGAACCACGGCGATGGTACCTGTTGAAAACAGTGAGGGCCCTAATCTGCTGAACCAGAATGGGAGAGTCCCAGAGGCTGACGACAGCTGCGGAGCTGGCGGTGGTCTGGTAACCAGAGGTAAAGTGAGGGCTTCTGGTTCTGGGGGACCGGGAGGCGCAAGGGTGTGTGTGTGTGTGACAGTGAGAGAAAGAGATAGATAGAAGAGGGGTGGGAGAGAGGAGAAAGGCAAAGGAGCAAGGGGACACAATTTGGTGGATGAGGAGTGACAAGATTTGAATGTGGTGATAATTGATGAAGTTCAGTTTTGACCTCATGTGATAAGCAATTAGGAATCGCACACCCACTTATGGTGTGACAGGCCACCTTGAATGTGTTTACATAGCACAGAGTATAAACCTTTTTTAGTTTTGGAAAAGCTGAACAAGACGAGTGCCCCATGTACAAACACACAACGTGCACTCATGCATACGCTTTCATTATTAGCACACAGTTACAGAGAGGTATCATAACCACCATTGTTAAGCCCCACATGTACATAAGCTACGTCAAATTATTAGCAATGTCACCATTATTTAGAGCGTAGTCAATGATCAGGGGTTTTTTTTCACAGCTCCTGTTTTTTGAGATGGTTCTGAACATAGGCAGATCCTGAACTATCCTTTTCTCTTGTTCCTGCTTTCCTTAAAAGCGGTCTTTTTGAGCAGAGGGTTGATTCATAGGCGTCCCTTGCAGAAGGGAAATTGGGGAAAGGTTTTAATTCATTTCAGTTATCTTTGCTGAACCAGATGCTTTGCTTCAATCCCACATTTACAACCCCCACAAATATACTCCATGCTCTTTGCTACCTCTTCATGTTCTTTTCATTTGTTCTCAAATTTTTTGTAGAAACAGGTTTAATATGAAACGAAACACACATCATTCTCTCCATCCTACTAAGAGCCCTTCTCCATCTAAGTATATATAATACATGGGGCTCAGTTACATATGGAAATTTCACAAATAACAGATTTGTATAAAAGGCTTTTGCTATCCACCTCGAGGTAGATGCATGTGCTTATGTTTACATGGAGGGTTTGTCTGATGGTGGAAGTGAACCTACAACTCGCACAGAGGCATGCTGCTTCTACTGAGAAGCTGAGAAGCTCCCACTCACGTCTCTGCACCCTGTTCCTTGCTTGGTCGTCTCGTGCTTTCCCACTTCTAGTAAAAGAATGTTCTGGTGATCCAGTTGATAAGGAGTTGTGCTGTCAACCTGAAGGAATCCACCCGCTGATCTGCAGGAGGAAGATGGACTGCTTCCTCCCACGCAATTTACTGTCTCTGAAAACCCGCTGGCGGGTCAGCTAGGAGTCAGTTGCAATGCACAAAACAAGTCAAGAGTAGTCTCTCAGCTCTTCCTAAATAGAGCTACCCCTTCCCCCAGCGCACTGACTTGCTCCGAGTTTCCTATCTGCAGGCAGGAGAACATGAATTTGGGGATAAAGGGGAAGAGTTACAAAATTCTCTTCTCCAAATTCCTGAGAGACTGAACTGCAATATTGACTTCAGAGTGAGCTAAGGTAGTAAGATCAACCTAAAGGTTAACTAGAAAGGGTGGGGATAATGCTATGTAGAAAATGCAAAAAAATGTCCAGGAGAGGGCTTTATGACAACAATACACACTGACTAATATTTGGCAGATTTTAAATATTTAATGTATGCTTCATGACTTATTTTGCATAAATTCACAGTTGTCCTACAGGAAGAGAATATGTAATTTATGTTTCCAGAAGTTGGACACAAGTGCAAAATTCAATTTGATGAAGTATGTTCATGTTATTGCTGAGAAATAGCAAATAAATAAATACTACAATTAATTATTTAAATTTCATTTTAAATGAACTTTTATGAGGAAAAGAAAGTCTAAGTGTTTCTTAAAATCTCAAAATCTACAGCTTTGATTTGTGCTGTATAAAAGTTATGCTTAGATATATACAAACTTGGTGTTTCTTTTGTAAATTTTACAAAATTGTCAGAAATGTTCTTTGATACTTGTGTCAATTATATGTTTGTATGCATGTATGTACACATGTATGTGCATAATTTACATATTTCAATTCCCCCCCCCATTAGGTTAGAATTATCTTATGATTGAACCTTCAGCAGGTTTTTGGGAGTCTGTGAGTGACACAGACTGCCTGCTTTTTTCTCCCATGGGGCTTGAACTATCAAAGGCTTAGCCTTTGGGTTAGCTCCACAACTCCCTGTAGACGACACCACCAGAGCTCTTTACATTGGATATGTTGTTGTTGTTAGGTACTGTCCAGTTGAGTACGATTCATAGCAACCCTATGAGCAATAAGAAGTCCTCCTCATCTGCACCATCCACACCATCTCTCACATACTTGAGCCCTTTGCTGCAGTCACTGTGTCAATCTATCTCGTTGAGAGTTTTCACAAGTGATATATACAGGTTTCAAAGTCAAAGTCATAGCTATGGAGTGAGGACCTAGGTGACCTCCCAGGGGATTTTCAGAAGCTGTAAATCACACAGGAGAAGATTGCCCATCTTTCTCTCTCAGAGCAGCTAGTGGATTCAAACTGCCTATCTTTTTGTTGGTAGCACAAGTCTTTAACCACTCTGCCAACTAGACACATAAAATGAGCTCATGGAACAGACTTGCTATGTGGCTGTGGAAATGTATTTACCTGTCATTAGTGATATGGAGCATAGACACAACCCTGACACATACCTTTCCTAATTTTAAGCCATGTAGTGTTCCCTTGCTTTGTTCATGCAACAGCCTCTTAATCTAGGTTTAGGGTTTGCATGAGCATAATTATCCTCTCCGACATCCACCGGTCTTTGTTAACAATCACGTATCCAAAGCAAGACGAGACATTCAATACCATTCTTCTCAATGTTAGCCATAATTTGTTAAAAATGCCATTGCCTAGTCAATAAAACACAAATGGGCATTATTCTGGTATTCTTTGTTTTCTGCCAGGATCTATCTGACATCAGCAATAATATCCCTGGTGTCACAGCCTCTTTTAAATACAGCTTGAACATCTAGCAGTTCTGTCTATGTACTGTTCTAGCTATTTTCTAGTGATTATTGCCAGTGTCTTGCTTAGATCTGATATTAATGGTATTGTTCTATAAGTTCCATATCCTCATGGATCACTTTTATTGGGAATGGAAACAAACATGGATCTCTTCCAGACAGTGGGCCAGTCAGCTGTCCTCCAAAATTCCAGGCATAGACAGGTGAGTAGGTCCAAGGCTTGCATCTGCCATTTGAAATATTTCCATTTGTATCCCATTGATGCCTGTGGCCTTTTCTTTTTCAATGCCTTCAGTGCTGCTTTACTTTCTTCCTTCATCACCATTAGCTCCTGATCACATGGTATTTTCAGAATATTTCATTATCATCTGATTATCTTTGATGCAGTGTCTGTATATTCCCTCAACCTTCTTTTGATATTTCCTAGATCATTCAAGATTTTGCCCATAGCATCCCTAAGTATTGCAACTCAAAGCTTGACTTTGTTCTGTGAAGAAGAATGTGACATCATGATTAGAGGAAGACTCATCAGTAACCTTTATTGAGCAGATAACACACACTTGCTTGTTGAAAGTGAAGAGAACTTGAAGCATTGCTACAGAAGATCAAAGACCGCAGCTTTCAATATGGATTGCATCAAGAAAACAACAATCCTTACCACTAGAATGATAGACAACATAATGAAAGATGAAGATTGAAACTATCAACAACTTCAACTTACTTGGATCCATGATTGATACACTTGGCCATAGCAGTCAAGAGATCAGGACATATTTTGCACTGGGAAAGTCTATAGTCAGGGACCTCTCCAAATTGTTGAGAAGCAATGATGTCAGCTTGAGAATGAAAGTACATCTGATTTAGGTCATAGTCTTTTCAGTCACTTGTTATGCATCTGAGAATTTCACAATGATTAAGGACGACAGAAGAATTGATATCTTAGAATTGTGGTTTTGGAGAAGAGTGTTGAATATCCCATGGACTGCCAAAAGAACGAACAGATAGGTCTTGGAGGTTCATTCAGAGTGTTCCTTGGAGGCAAAGATGATGAAGTTTTGTCTCATATACTTTGGGCATGTTGCTAGGAGAGGTTATTCCTTGGAAAGGGACATCATGCTTAGAAAAGTAAAGGGATAGCAAAAGAGAAGACCCTCAACCCGGTGAATTGACACAGTGAGTGCATGAAGTGCATGCTTAAGAGTGTCAGAGCTTGTGAAAATGGCACAGGATAGAACAGGAATCAGATCTATTGTTCATAAGGTCATTATGAACATTATTCAATGGCAACTACCAATAACAAAAACATCATTAATAGTGATATTATATTTTAATCCATTTTACTAAAATGTTGAGTGTTATGGGAAAGAAATTGTCAAATACTCCTTCAACACTTTTTTAATTGGTTTGAATACCCTCATTTATATTTATTATAAACATTGCATTGCATTCATGCAGAGTGATTCACAATGCAATCTTGGCTGAATAACCTCAGATTGTTGTAAAATCAGATAAATAACAGTATTTTTAGCACCCTGGCATAGGCTGTGCCCATATGAGTACCAATGAATTTTGGGGACCTGCTATCAGATATTGGGCTGCTTCTACTCCTTTCAGCTCTTTCATATTTAAAACTTATAAACTTTCTTAGAGAGCTCTGGTGGCCTACCTATAAGAGGTTTCACTGCAAACCCAAAGGCATGTGGTTCAAATCCACCAGCTGTTCTGCAGAAGAAGGATGAGAAATATCCTTCTGTACAATTTTCTGCCTCTGAAAACCCACAAGAGGGTCATCTGTGAGTTGGTCCTGACTCAATGGCACACAACATATAGTTTCTTTCACCTAAGAAATTTACAGTACTTAAACTATTACTACTAACTACTATAATATTCCTGCATTTGTAAGTAGCAAATGAATGCCCTAAAGCAATGGCCTAGATGGGAAAATTAACGTACAAAGGGGAATGAGTTATGCAACCCAGAATAAGGTAATTAAATAATTTAGATTACAGAAGAATTAATCGGAGGAAAAAAAACCCCATCCAGTACTGTCATTGAATCTTTTGTAATGCT